CCCCAAAACCCCAAAACCCCAAAACCCCTAAAACAATAAAAAAGCTGTGAGATTTTTTTCATTTAATATTTAGGAATTAAAGTGAGTGAACTATTGAGTAAAGCTTACTTAATATAAATGACATTGAATGTAAGAGTCAAACATTCCTTGTCATTTCATATGTGACGAACTTTATATAAATTTATCTTACTTGTCTAAATGATTACTTCATTTGAACCCTCTGCCTCTTATATACTCCTCAATTAGGTTGTAGGCTTGTAGCTTAAGTTCAATTAAGTCCTAACAGTGATCAATCTGTAATAGTTTCGCTATAAGCATTCTTGTCTCATCCATAATTAAATTAAAAGCCGGATATTAATCTGGGCCCTTTTAAGACTCTCTGCACCAAAGCATATATAGGAATCTTAAGGCGTAGCTGTGTAACTCAAAGAATGTTTTCTTATACTTATAGTTGAGCTTGCAAAAGTTTTTAAACTCTTATCGATTGGCTCTTCTCCTCATTAGATTGCCCGCAACAGGTTCCACATTTAAATATAAAAATGCCACCAATAAATTCTAATATGACAATGATTAAGCCTGTTTAAATTTAATGTGTAATTACAGTCACGTTTATAGAGGATAGGGCTATGTAAAAATACTGAGCTCCCTCTTGAAGCATCTATTGGAATACTTCAGGATTTTTCTTGATAAAGTATCTTATGCATTCCAAAGATAAAATACCTCCATTCCTAAATTCAAGTCTAGGGTTTTTCGTTTAAAAACCTATTTCTTTCCATTTCTTAGACTCTAATCTATGAGGTACTCTCTAGTTCTCCTCCCCAAATACGAGAAGGAAAAGGTCTGTCAAACTTTGCTATAAAATAATTCATTAATTTTCAATAAATTACCTCATGCTAAGGATTTGTGTCACTATAAAGTTAGACTAATCTAGATTTGAATTTAAGGAACTTGTTCATCTGAAAATATGTTAGTACATTACATTCGTGAAAATTACCTCTTCCTTTGAGACATCATAATTCTTGAAAAAACAAGAGCAGAGCTTCTCAGCCCAGCTTCTATTATCCTTGTATAAAAATCCAGGGAATTGCTCTCCACTACTAATACTGTCCTTTTTAGAGGGACTTCTTTTCAATGAACCTCGACGGCTTTGATCTGGAGAGTGCTTAAATCCTCTTTCGTCTCTATTGTTTGATAAAATATTGCTTAACTTTTACTGTAGAACCTTCGGGTCTGCCATTAGTCCAGCTGTAACTCTATAATTAGCTTCTATTTGTTATTTGCGCTTGATTAATGCTTCTTTTTCATCGTCTGTGAAACTCCACTTTCCATCAGCGCTCTCTCTTCCATGATCAGTATCGGACCAGTCATATTGAGATTACTATTCCTCAATATGCTAGCCAGAGCTTTTCTTCCTATTCGATAATTGGTTATCAATTTTGGATTGATTAACAAATTCATCCAGAGTTCCCTTTTTCATTAATATCTCAATGTAATTTATATCTAGATATTAGGAGATTTAATTTTTTATTAGTGGTTTTCGCCTATATAATTTGCGATCTCTCTATATGGGGTTTTGGGGTTTTGGGGTTTTGGGG